AATCGAGATCATTCTTTTTGCAGATGGTACTTAGGAAGGTATACTATGATGCCTGAGTGAAATAACAGGGAATGATGAAGAAGGTAGCCCTTGGCCGGTCATATTGTCAAGTTTTTACAGAACCCCCCCAATGATAGTATGTATGATCAGCAAGGCTAAGTACTCTCGGCTTGCCCGTCTTGCTCTGGCTACGGCACCCTGGACATTGGTACCACTGGCATAGACTTTGAGATGTCCTGACACTCAATACATAACCACGAACTCAAGAGCACCGAACCTGATTTGTCATGGAAGCTCTCTCATCCCAAGCTAGCTCACTATTGCGTCGCGACCTTTCCTCGTCTTTGACGGATTGGAAAGGACTGGGCGAGATGTTGATAGAAGAAGAAAACTCTACCTCCTCCGGATACAGCTGGGCAGCTCCGTCACTGGACATTGCCCTCTCCCAAGTTGCTTCCGAACAATCACGAGCTAACTGGATCGATGTACTGAAAGCACTCACAGCCTGGGGAGTCATCGAGTATGCCTCCGCAATTGTAGTCAGCCCCTTTGAAGTGGCGACAACGCTGCTGCAGGTGCAATGGGTTCCGAAGGATATGAGCAGACCAACTCTGCTTGGTACCAGGATCGGCGGACTCGTTGTGAGTCGCCATGCGATCCGTGCAGGGAGTGCGGGGGGTATATGGGGCATGATGAGGGCGCTTGTAGCACACGAAGGATGGCTAGCACTGCTCAAGGGTATGCATATGCTATCTAGTCTACATCTAACTGCGTCGCTGAGGCATACCCAGGATCGCAAGTCGCAGGTCTCATTGAGATCCTGTCAACTGTCGCTCAACCAATCATTCTCGGTTTGCTCGACTTCTCAGCCGAAGTCGCTGGGATACCTATCGGGCATTCATCTCTAGTCTTGCAAGTAGCCTCTCACGTCCTGACGGGGCTCTTGCTCTCACCCCTAGAGCTGATCCGGACACGTCTAATCGTGCATTCGTCTGATCCGAAACTTCGCCCATCCTCCGGCATGTGGGATGAACTCTTGCAGATACTTCGACATGAAGGCGGTTGGCCGGGTATCTATTTCCATCCCAATCTTCTGATACCGGCACTTCTCGACAATACCCTGCGGTCCGTCACCTCTATCGCGCTCCCCGCTGTTCTTGCTCCACACGTGGCCAGTGGTATGTCCACGAAAGTGCTGTGCGGTTGCGTGGGTTTGCTTGTCACGCTCCCGTTCGAAACCGTGCGGAGAAGATTGCAGCTGCAGGTCCGCGGGTTCGAGAGAACTATCGCAACTTCAGTACAGGTACGGCCTGTACCTTACAATGGTGTCATTGATGCGCTATGGCACATTGCGACGGAAGAGCGCGCAGATTTGCCTCTTCACCCGTCGGTTCTGGAAAACGAATTTGCTAAAGCTCAGTATCCTGGCGCCGATGGTGGTAGGTTTATGGACCGATTCCCGGGGGTTGGGCAACTTTTCAGGGGCTGGGGATTGTCTCTACTTGCAAGTATCGTGTAACATTTATATTGTCTCATGCTACATATTTTAGTTTTCCTTGTGCCTTCCCGTGAAGAAGCGCATCAAGCAAGAATGTATTCCATAAGCACGATAAAATGAGCTGACTGTGGCGAAGTGTGGCAAGCGCTAACGGTGTCACTGTTTCCATGTCAGGGATTCGGGGAAACCACGTGCTTGCCGCCGGAAACGCGTCTGACGTCCGACTCAAGACTCTGTCATTTGCAGGCATCTCTCCCCTTCTCAGACGGAGCCACTGTCCTACTCGTTCCATCTGATACTGGTGCTCTATTCCGCCCTTCGAAGGGCAAGAATTAAAAAAGGTTTCAGGCAGATGCTATGACTACCCCTTCGTCCTTACGAGACTTGTATTCTCCTCCTCCGCCGACCTGGTCATTCATCCCGGCCCAACAAGGGCCTGTCACATCCAACGCGACGGCTTCTTCTTCCGAGCCTCCAGTGTATCAATATCAATGGTCCCGTCCCCCACCCAACTCCATTTTTGACCTTTCCCCTTCTCTGAACGATCCCTCGGGTATAAATGTCACTCTGCTGCTGAAGGCCATAGTGGCCTCGGCGTTCGTCAAGTACACGACGTTCGCCATCGCAATGCCATGGGACGTGGGTAAGACTCTCCTGCAAGTGCAGTGGGTCCCGCGAGACGTCGGGCTGCTCGAGCCACAGGCGGAACGTATCGAGGAAGTCGAGGAGGAAGTGGTACGCAGCACCCAGTACCCCTCGTACTCAGTAATGGGCTGGATTAATGCGCAGGTTCCTTAGCTGAGCAATTCGTCATCGGACGAGCAGGATTCGTACTTTGCAGACCCCACGAATCCGGCACCGCCGGCTTCGCGGTATAGTGCACCCAGGGAGAGTGGGTATGTGGTGAGAAGGTCGGTGGTCGAAGAAGCTACCCGGCCCGAGTATATCATACCGGTCGGAAGTGCTGGGGGTGTGTGGGGAATGATGAGACGCGTTGCTCGGTTCAAGGGCGAGGGGTGGTTAGCGTTATGGAAGGGTGAGCTTCATGATGACGCTGAAAAGTTGTTCGTTCATTCAATCACGTCCAGGCACACTAACATCATGCGTAATGGATTTCCTCTCGTCAACAATACAGCCTGTCATCCTGGGCGTCCTCCAAGCCATGTTTCTACCGAATTTATCGCCATATCAGCAACCCCCACTCATCCTGCCGGTCGCCTCGCATGTGATCACGGGATTCCTAGTCTCACCACTCGACCTTGTCCGGACTCGTCTGATGGTACAGTCCTCTATGGCGCGACACAGGTCTTACTCAGGCCCCATCGATGCCATGTCCCAGATCATTCGTGACGAAGGCGGGCTCAGGGGGATCTACTTGCACCCTCATTTGCTCATTCCTACACTTGTTGACAGCACCCTGCGTGCCCTCATCCCTCTGGCTCTCCCTGGCATCATCGCGTCCAATATAAGCCCATCCTTGTCAGAAGAGACGCATCCCATTGCGTGGAGCTTCCTCGAGCTCGCCGGCGACTGCGCGGGCCTGCTCGTGACGCTTCCTTTTGAGACGGTCCGGCGACGCCTGCAAGTCCAAACTCGGGGTTCAGCGAAACCTCTCAAGGCATGCGTGGAGCTGCGTCCCGCGCCATATAATGGCGTGATCGACACCTTGTGGCACGTACTAACGGAGGAGCGCTCGGATCTGCCGCTGGAGGGGCGACGAACAAGGAGGAAGGAGAAGGGCAAGGACCGCGAAGAACCTGAGGCGGAGGACGAGGTGATCGAGGAGGGCTGGTTTAAGAATACTGGGATTGGGCAGCTGTACCGGGGCCTCGGTATGCGGTTGTCTGCTAGTGCTGTCATGTTTGTCCTGGGCATGCTGAGTGGTGAGGAAAGGGACGCAGGGTGGACTGAGTTATAGTGCATACACATTGAGTATATTTGCATTAATTATGTCTTTGTCTATTACACTGAACGACTTGATGCTCCGAGCTGCAGAACGAGGTTTCTTGTCGACCTAGTTCGTTACCGTCCCGTTCAAAGGGGGTACTGCTTGAAACTTTGCGCCACCTCCTAGTGTTCATTGCTCACCTACCAGTGATTCGGCTCGTTCCACTTCGGAAGACTGCCGCTTCACCTCATTGCTGATATACATGCAGATTTGACCGCTTCAGCAATTCACGCGGACGCGGCTTGCTCTCGAGCCTCCTACAAGTTACAGCGACTTTAGTTATACTGCCGCAACGCAGGAGCGGTCGTTCTCCGTGATTATTCCTTCGATTCGGAGGAAACGGAGGAGGAGAAATGTTCGGACGTTCTCTTGACCCAAAGAGGTCAGTCACATTCCGTTTTTGCTCTGAGGCGGCCTGGGATCGACGTTCAGCCAAGTGGACGACGTCACGATCGATGGCTGACAAGCTCGCCCGCGCAGTGCGATTCTCTTCACGGCTGACACGGTTTCCTTCACATGCCTCTGCGTGTATATAAAGGTGACGTTCACATGTGCCGTGCGCTCGCTCCTCGCCTCCCTTTTCCCTCGCTCCCCACCTCACTTTCCGCTCACTTCTTCACATTCGCTCCCCTTCAGCAGCCCGTCGCTCCAGTCATGCCCTCGCGGCTCTCTATCGCCGCGTACGCAAGCACTGGGAGGATGAAATATGCCCTTCAACCCATGCGTCTCCTGGACCGTGGATCGTCGCGCTCTGTCTCAGGGAACCTCCAAGCATGTTTTGGGTGGCGTCACCCAACGACCACTATGTGTTCCGCCCTGCACGAGCGCAATAGCGATTCTCGCTATAAAGGAGCCGAACTCTGTTGCCTACGATTGAAGGGAATCCCACCCTCACGGCAAAGCGACCTGATGTGTCGGTCCCTGGGAATCGTGCGTGAAGATAGAGCAATCCCCTTTCATTCACCCGTCTTTCGTGGACGGGGTCCACAGCTCAGAGTGGCTCAAGGACCAATTTGCTCTCGAAGGCCTGGTGGCGATCGGAGTGTAGTGAAGACGGCTGTCGCCCATGCCCCGAGCAGACGATGTGGCCGCAGTGGAGGGCGGTCGGGGCGGAGAGTGACTAAGGTGAGTAGCATGGCTGATGCTCCGAAGACAGGTAGCGCACGGCATTTTATCTCGTCTAGCAGGGGAAAGCCTCTAATCTTCGGCCGTCAAGTTCCTGGAGCAGGCAGCTCGTGGAGTCAGTTCGCTGCGATTCGCATCCAGTGTCGAAAGCCACGCCTGCAGGCTCGATTCCGGGATATGGGAAGCCATCTCTACCAGGAGCTCAGAATATATCCGGTCGCCATTACCGGGAAGACCTTCAGGAGGAATTAAAGTGAAGAAGAATGCAAGCAACGTCAACTCTGCCGGTGCTCGCTATGAAGCACTATGGGGACGAATCCGCAGAGACGCCAGCGGCGGAATTGTATTAACCGATGCTAGGGTTTACGGCGATTGTCAATGGAGCGTCGAGTTCGTAGAACTCAAAATGGCGGAGAGAAACTGTCCCGCATCACTATACTAGCATCGGGCTAACCAGAATCATGATCACAGAGCCATGGCATACAAGGCTAAAAGGTTTGCAAGATGAGTCTTCTCACCGATTGCGTTTGCTATCACAGCTAACAACAGAACAAAAGCCAGCGAACATCCATCGATGCTATTATGTAGTACAGGAAAAGTAGGACAAGAGCGACATGATGCAACCATGACTCAGACTCTGGCTTTAGTGACAGTAGCTGCATTACTAACGGTGCAGAGGCCAAAAACAACAGGTCCAGCCAGGAATCGAACCTGGGTTACCGGAAATTTCCAAGACCGTGAGAATTTATCAGAATCCGATGTGATGGACCGCTACACTACTGGACCATGATTGGCTGCTTTAACTATACAGTCCTATCCACAAAAATAGCAGAAAGCAGTAGACCCAGGGAAGAGACCAGAAAAGCAAGACTGACCAGGACATGTACATGCCCCCCTTGGGTATGCAACCACTGAACAGTGACAACTTCCAGAGTTCCACAGGTGTCAAAGCCCTCGAGTTTCATCACAAAGGTACCATTTCTGAAGTCCTACTGCCTGGAAGGGGGATACTGACAACAACAATCGCGCTGAGGAGTGTGCAACTCCAGTGTAGGGTCACAATACTCATGCTTGAGAGCTGCAAGAGAGCAGACGAAGAGCGGATGGCACACGTAAGGGCACAGCGAAGATACGGCAACTTCGCCGTACGACGATTCCTCAAGTCGACGTAGAGTATGGCAGGTAGCCGCAGTTGGAGTGACCGCAAGGAATCGATTGCAGGATAACCTGGACCTGCAAGAGCCGGCAGGAACTGGTGAACCGGAGATTCACAGATACCGAGTGTACCTTGTAAGCAACTCCACTATAGATGCAGCCGAGGCGCTCATGCAGATGTGTGACGGAGAGGTCTGTACGACGTCGCTGCACGGTCGCGCAGTTGCAGGGAGTTATGCTAGTGCGCAGCGGGAAAAGGCTGTGATACCGCATCGCCTTGACGGACAGTGTGGCAGGCGGTATGTAGTGGTCGGAGGCGAGTTGGACAAGTCAGCGATGCCTTCAGTGTGACGTTGGACGGATGCACCGTTCACCCGTTGAGACTTCAGAGGCCATACGATACTGATAGGCCAAGCGCAAACAAGACCCACCAGCTGAAGAGATATCACAAAAGACCAGGAAAATGACGTCTCCCTCAGGTCCGGAGGTGCGCATGCAGGCAGATGTTGGGAAGAGAAGACGAGGTGGCGGTACCGCGACATGTCGGGGCGCTCGCCATATATGGCAATTGTATTTATACATGTACCCCAAAATAGTATTGTCCGGACCGAGCCAATTGAAAGGCGGCCGCCCGGTCGGGGAAGGCCGACCTGAAGCTTGTATGAGCTGTGACATCAGCGCAGGCAGATGAGCATGCCAGGTACCCGGGCACCCTTGTAAAGCAGCACCTCAACGTATACGTACCATACCACGCTCCTTCCCCCCTGCAACCACCACCTTCCTTAATTCCTTGTTTCCACCCTCGTCGTTGCCCATGGCGGCGTCCAACGGTTCTGCGCAAGCAGAGGTCAATGACATGGTGGAGAAAGACGCCGAGAAAGGTCGCGTCGCCGTCCATAGTTTCGACCCGGAGGCTCCCCCCGAAGAAAAGGCTGCCGCAGCTGGCAAGGCCCGCGACCAGCTCAAGTCTGTCTCCCAGAAAGACACTGGTGCAGGTGGTAGAGGTATCTCGCGTCCCAAACCTTGGATGCATGGAAGCTCACGCGGGGTATAATTAGAGCTCGCGATTGACACTGGCGCCTCAAATGTCGTGCCTACAATAACCATCGAGGACGCTGATACAGAAGTACCTGATGAAGACCAGAACCAACCCCAGCCTGAATTACCGGGCGCTCTGCCTGATGGAGTTGCACCAGCTATCCCTGATTGGTATAAAGTAGGGTGGCGGGCAGTGGGCGGAATTGACGAGCCAGAGCTCACTGAAGGCGAAGAGAAAGACAAGAATGTGCTTGAGCTCTTTATCTCTGAGCAATTTTATGGCGACTGGTATCATAACGCTGCCATCATCATCTTTGTACGTGTTCCTCTACTATTGCAAGGCGAGTCGAGCTGACAAGTGTGCAGGCCGTTTTCATGTCGCACTTCCTTACGCGCTTCAACTTTGGTTGGGGATGGCTCCTAATCGTATTGGCCTGCTGCAGCACATATTATTCCACGTCAATCCGGCGCGTACGTAGGCGTGCCCGCGACGACATTCAGCGTGAACTCGTCAAGACCCGCCTGGCATCCGAACATGAGACCGCAGATTGGATTAACAATTTCTTGGATCGCTTCTGGCTCATTTACGAACCCGTTCTTTCTGCGACTATCATCTCTTCCGTGGACCAAATCCTTAGTGTCAACACTCCTGCTTTTCTCGATTCTCTTCGACTAACCACGTTCACCTTGGGCACCAAGGCCCCTCGCATAGACAAAGTACGAACGTTCCCAAAGACCGCAGACGACATTGTGATGATGGACTGGGGAATCTCATTCACTCCGAACGAGACCTCCGACTTGACCGAGAGGCAGAAGAAGCTCAAGGTGAACCCAAAGATCGTCCTGTCCATCCGGGTGGGCAAGGGTATCGCTGCCGTGACCATGCCCGTGCTATTAGAGGACATCACTTTCACTGGTCTCATGCGGATCAAATTGAAGCTGATGACCAATTTTCCGCACGTCCAAACAGTAGATATCTCGTTCCTGGAGAAACCGGTGATCGAATATGCCTTGAAGCCTATCGGAGGACAGCACGGATTCGACATCAACGACGTAAGTGCTCCCTTTACCCCAGTTGTTTTGCGTGGGCTTACTGAGCCGTGGTCGAAGATTCCTGGCTTGTCCGCGTTCATTCGTGATATGGTGCATGGGACTTTGGGGCCCATGATGTATGACCCTAATGTGTTCACCTTGAATCTGGAGCAACTTCTCTCGGGCGCCCCCCTCGACGCCGCCATCGGCGTGGTACAAGTCACCATCCACTCCGGACGCAGTCTCAAAGGCAGCAAGATTGGAGGTGGTACTCCCGACCCCTATGTCAGTCTCAGCATCAGCAACAGGGGAGAACTTGCTAGGACAAAGTATAAGCACAGCACGTACGTGATGCTGTCGATTGGCTGTTTCTCATGCGCTCATGTAGTCGTCAGATACAACCCGTCCTGGAACGAGACCAAATTCTTACTTGTCAATTCTCTGACCGATACTCTGGTTCTCTCTGTGTTTGACTACAACGAGCACCGGAAGAATACCGAGCTAGGCGCTGCCTCTTTCGATCTCTCCAAGTTACAGGAGGATGCGACCCTAGAGAATCTGGAGGTCGAGGTTCTGAAGGATGGCAAGGAGAGAGGAATGTTGAGGTTCGACCTATCGTTCTATCCCGTGCTGAAGCCCGAAGTGGTCGACGGAAAAGAGGAGTTGCCTGAGACTAGTGCGTGATATTCCTTGAAATGTTGTTTATGGTCTAATGGAGCTTATCTTCTTTCGCCAGCCGTTGGCATTGTTCGACTCACTCTCCACCAGGCCAAGGATCTGGATCCGTCAAAGTCCATGACCGGAGACCTGAACCCCTTTGCTAGAGTGTACCTCGGTGATAATCCTGCGCCCATCCATTCGACGACCAAATTCCGCCACACCCTATCACCTGTTTGGGAATCCGCGACCGAATTTCTCTGCTCCGATAAGCAAACGTCCGTCGTGACGGTGAAGGTCATTGACGACCGGGACTTCATGAAGGACCCGGTTGTTGGATACCTGCGCGTCAGGCTTGCGGACTTACTAGCAGCGAAGAAGGAAGTGGGCAAGGACTGGTGGGCTTTAGCTGGGTGTACAAGCGGGAGATTGAGGATGTCTGCAGAGTGGAAACCGTTGGATATGGCAGGAAGCTTGCACGGCGCCGATCAGTATAAGCCGCCGATTGGCGTTGTCAGGCTCTGGCTTGATAGGGCTACGGACGTCAAGTGAGTTCGACTGGTCAGGGTGTCTCCATATTCAGCTGACATCACGTGCAGGAATGTCGAAGCTGCGCTTGGTGGCAAGGTACTGTTACAAAGGCGTTCAGTGCAGACAGTTGCGCTTACATATAGTTTCAGAGCGACCCATATGTCCGTGTCCAGATCAACAACATCACGCAAGGCCGGACGGAAGTTGTTAATAACAGTATGCTGCAAATCTCTTCTGGTTGTCGACGCGAGTAACCCCTTTGCACAGACCTTAATCCTGTCTGGGATCAAATCATCTACATACCTGGTGAGTACGACAGAGTGCATACTTGCAATGATATTCATGAAGATGCCGCCACACAGTGCATTCACTCAGAGAGGTTAGCCTAATGTCACAATATGCGCAATATATAGTACTCACATCATCTTTAGACAATGTTGCTCGAATGCATGGACTATCAACATCTTACAAAGGCGAGACCTTGTCCCTTTGCTTTCCGACGAAACCCTAACCCCAGTATCAGGACCGCTCATTAGGTTCGGTGGAGCTGCGTGTCTCAGATTTGGCTCAGGAGTCCGAAGATCCCGAATATCCTTACGCAAGCACTGGTAAGAAGGAAGTTCAGGACCCCATCAAACTCGACAGAGGCAACAGCTACAAGGGCCGTCTTCACTACACTGCCGAATTCATACCGGCACTGGCCCTCAAATGGAGAGGCTTCTCTACTGGAGGTAATGAGCTGCAACAGGCAGCGCGGACCGGCGGTGGCGATGAGGACGGTGGTATCGTTCTGGACGATGATTCCTCGTCCATGTCGAGCTCGGATATCGAGCGCCAAGCAGTGCCTCTCGAGATCACCGCGACTAGTCCTGTTGGTTCCACCTTTTCGAAAGGCCACGCCAAAGGGGCAAAGTCCACGGACACAGCACGTACGGCCGTTAGCACGGGAACAACGGGATCGAATGGCTCCGCTGCTCCCTACGACGTCGGCGATGCTGCTACCTCATCACCAAATGGGAACGGACAGGCTGCAAACAGGGACAGGAAGCCTCAGCAAGAGGAGAAGGGTATTGATATGTCCAAGGAAGACTTATTGCGGCAGCGTAAGCCACGGGCCCCTCTTCTTAGCGTGTTTCGCTCACCCATGGCACAGAGTCGGGCGTTGTTATTATGAATGTCCTCAATGGCCAACTGTCCAAGAAGGCCCGCCTTGAGGTCCTGCTCGATGACGGCTACTGGCCTGCATTCAGCACCATCAAAGCCCGTAGCACGCATGCCAAGTGGGAACATGTTGGAGAGGGCTTCATCAAGGAACTCGACTTCGGCCGGGTGTGGCTAAGATTGAATGAGGCTGACGAAGGCGACAAGGATGATGTCATTGCTGAATGGAAGACGGACGCCAAACCCTTCTTGGAACAGGCTCTAGTGAGTTCATGTGTAGGATTGGCATTATTGTGCACCGTTAACTTCTCCGGGGCGCAAGAACGGGCCAACGAAGTTCACTCTCTATGACGATGATGGAAAGGCAACCTCTGTTGTTGAGCTTGAAGCGCGATACATTCCAGTACCGGTGAAGTTGGAGCCGCGCGAAAGCATCAACAGTTAGTTCCATGTCAGCTACCTCTGTTAGGTGCACTGACGTAATGTGTAGATCAGGGTGTGCTTCAAGTGACGCTCATCGACGGGAAGGATATACATGGTGTTGACAGAGGAGGTGAGGGCGCCGACCCTTTTACGCTCATGAATGTCATTGACATGTTCCAAAAGGGAAATCTGATCCATTCGCTGTCTTCACACTCAATGGCCAACGTGTCTTCAAGTCCCAGACCAAGAAGAAGACACTCACTCCGGAATGGAATGAATCCTTCACTGTGTCTGTGGTGAGTATATGCCGGTCTTGATATTGCTTCAACTCCATCTAATCCCGTGTAGCCGTCTCGAGTTGGTGCCGACTTCGAGGTTGAGATATTCGATTGGAATCAGATAGAGCAAGCTAAGAAGCTCGGCTCCGGCAAGATCGAACTTGCGGATATTGAACCATTTGAAGCCATAGAGAAGAACATACCGTTATCCTCTCAGAAGCATGGTGACAAGGGTCAAGTTCGCGTTCGACTCATTTTCCAGCCGGAGATCATTGCTAAGACTCGCAAGGCTACTTCTACCTTCAGCACAGCGGGTCGTGCTATGACCCAGATCGGACATATGCCTGTTGGCGCAGGCAAGGGAGTCATCCATGGAGTGGGCTCAGTCTTCAGGAGCAAAGACCATGCCAAACAGAACGATGGTCTGGAAGGAATTGATATGCCGAACGAGCCAGCTCCTGGGCAGGCTTCGAAACCTGTAGGAGCTGACCCATCTGCAGAGATGAGCGGTGCCGCCTTCCCGTCCAGTGCGTCTGTGAACAGTTTGGACGCCAACGGTGGTGTAGGAACTCTGAGGGTCACTGTCATGGATGCCAAAGATCTGGCGTTACCTGGGGACACGCCCAAACCTTACGTCGTGGTCCGAGTAGGAGACAAGGAGTACAAGACAAAGCACGCGGGTAAAACTCTGACGCCGGAATGGTGCGTGCTGTAACCAAAAACTGGGATCCAACTGCTGACATACACATGGGACAGGAATGAGACACTAACTTTTAGCGCTGGGCCCATGACCAATAAGCTGTATGCTTGGATCCATGATCATAAAACACTGGGCAAGGACAAACTATTGGGATCAGGTGAAATTGACGTACGTACCACTGCTACCACTGTCACATCAGTTACTTACAACCAACCAGATCTGGCGTCATATACAACCCACTGGAGTGACCTCCGCTGAAGTGCTCTCGGATCTGAGGGAGGGCCAAGGCCTGTTGCGTCTGCGTCTGGAATTCGATGCTGACGCTACTCCGTCTGTGGGACGGAGGTCCAGCATGTCAAGTATGAACCAGCGAACCACATCATTCTCCTCTCCGTCAAGATTCAGCATAAGCCGTAAGCGTCATCCATCTGATGACTGAGCGGGGTCCCGCCTTCAACGTCAGTCCTACCAAAGTACCTTTATGGAGCGGACATCAATTTATACAAGATACCGTAGTTTCTCCCGCCTCTGCTGTAGGCTATACCATTAATCTTTAATATTTCTACGTCTCAGCACGATTTGTATGATCTCATCCTTGTATCACTACAATATATTCTATGACATCACGTGTTCTTACGTCTTCCAAGGGAGGGGGGATGCATTCCACTTCTACTCTGATAGAGGGACAGCTCAATGTGGCTATCCCAATCTCCGAAGTTTGTCCGGCAGTGTTCCAGTAGGACCCCTGAAAATACTGATAAATGCCGGTGCGAGACTCAAAATTTCCATGTCTGGATTGTCTGAGGCTCCCCCCCGCATTTTTGTCCGGATAAAATACCGGCCTCCCGAAGGGGCCGATTTTTGTCCGGACTAATGCACCGGCGTCTGAAAAAACAGAAAAAAAGGTTTTCTCGCCTATCAACTCATTAGAACACTGTACAATGTATCAGTAATCGTACTAGGACTCGAATGCAGTCAATGAAGCGACAGAATTCACGAAGGCCACCCACTCCCACCAACCATCCTCCTCCCCATCCGAGTCCAGACCCTGGAGTGCGGCATTCATTTTGCCTTTATCCCAACCCAATCCTCGAGATTGAATGAGATGTCCACCTCTTCCGTGAGGTCAATGTCTGCCCCGCCCTAATGTGAATCCCGCTGAGACTGCTGTACCCCATATGAACGAGCTCGAAGCGCACACGTTAAGTATTCTGGGCGTCGTCCATGCTTCCAGAGTCATGTAAAGTGGTGATGGTGTAGGGAAACTTTGACGATACAGCGTACTGATCTCAGCCACATTCAGCCACTGGACATCGGAGCCCATTGTGCTACATACTAGAAACTATATATCACAGTGCAAATAAGGGCTACACGAGGCTACGCGACGGTACACAATGACAGGTTGGGACAAACCTCAGCCATAATTGGGTTAAAATACATGTACTACAAAGGGTAAATACATGCCAACTTGCCACACAGCCGTGTCCGGACTGTAACCGGCATGGTAGCTCGGTCATGACCGGTGTCCGGACTGTAAAACCGGGATGGCCGGTTCGGTCGTCCATCCTTGTCCGGATGGCGTCTGGCATGGAGGGCTCGAGACCGCGATTTTTGTCCGGACTGGCACCGGCATCTATCGGTATTTTCAGGGGTCCTGTTCCAGTCCTGAAGTTGCCGGACAGTGCCAGTGGCAGACCATGATTCCTACCCCAGACCTCTCTCACTTGTCTCACAAAGATTATGAGCATGTTTATGAACCTGCTGGTGAGCTTTTCTCCCAAGTGACTACCATGTTCACTTATTGCAGTAATAGAGGATACGTTCATCCTATTGGATGCGTTGGAAGAAGATGCCGATTGCTTGAAACAAGTCCAACCCAGGATTTGCCTTGAAATTGGGTTGGTATCTCACGTATTGCATGTGACGAACGATGAACACGGTACAGCTCTGGATCTGGTTGCGTCTCTTGCTTTGTAGGGGCAATCCTGGGTCATACCTCGCGTAAGTAATCCATGTCCAGCCCTGTCCAGTCACGCTGTTTCATCCTCATGTTCACGCCCAGTGTACCTCTGCACCGATATCAATCCACACGCAGCAAGATGCACTGTAGCGACGGGTGTTCGAAATCAAGTGAGTCTAGGTCAAGTAAATCACACGTTCAGCAGTGGTACCAATGTTTATTCGCAGTAGATTAGACTCGATGCTATCATAGCCCCATTTGCCCACCCGCTGCTAGATCGTCTCAAAGGCAGTGTGGATCTGTTGCTTTTCAATCCTCCTTATGTACCCACCGTCGAAGAAGAGGCGGCAAATGCCCAACACCACGCCGACATAGCGGGCGCCTGGGCAGGTGGTGAGGACGGTATGCAAGTCACGAATGAACTGCTTGGCCTGGTTGAGGTATCTAGTTGAATATCTTGTTTTCGTACCTTTCTGACTGTCAAGTGTTTGCAGCACCTGTTATCACCCACTGGCCAATTCTACCTAGTAGCCGTCAAGCAGAATGATGTACCTTCCATACAGCGTAGAATGTTCGATGAGCACGGACTACGGAGCGAGGTGAGTCGCCTCCGGTCGCGATGAAAAACATCAAGACCAAGGACGATGACGCAAACGTTGAATGTCAGGTGGTCCTCGAGCGTCGCGCGGGGGTAGAACATTTATTCGTTATCAAATTCTTCCGCGGATGCCCACCAACCAAGCAGGTCATAGAATTTTGCCATTGACGTGGCTCGCGGCCCCATCGACGACACGGACAGCAGTACATGCGTATAGCAACACAGAGGGAAAACAATACGAGTCATAATAAGTATGCAGGGGGGGGGGGGGGCGAGACTGGGGACTCTTCATCTTGTACCCCGAGTGACCCTTCTGACGGGCTTGGCCGCGACAGTCTGGTGTTCCACAGCCGACGACATCCTTGCTATCTGGTCCTCCGTCAAGACCGCCTTCTTGTTGAGTAGTCTGGATCTGAATGAATAAACGGCAAATGCTAGAACAAGGTGCTAAACTGACCTCTTCTTTTTCTTTCCAATTTCCGATGCTCCATCGTCCACATCTTCGTCAGAATTGTCAGATAGAGAGATATCTTTCATCTTGCCCTCTAGCCCAGTGCTCTTCTTAGCCGGGCGTGGAGTTGGCATAGTCATATCCTCTTCGTCCGAAGATAAGATGACCTTGGATCTTGCCCTCGGTTTTGGAGTATAACCTCCCTTTCCGACAGCCTTCTTCGGAGATCTTGGTAGCATTGATATCTCATCCTCAGAGCTTGAATCGAAATCTTCCTTTGTTAGGGTCTTCTTGGAGGAGGATGCTTTACCCGCAGTGGTTGTTGACTTCGAACTTGACGAGCTCGCGGACTTCCTTGGCTTATGTTCCTTGTCAATATCCGGGACCCAGTCATCATCATCATCTTCATTACTGTCGGTATCCTCATCGTCTTCTTCTTCGTCCTCTTCCGAGATCTGTTCTTCGTCATCTCCAGGTTCGGTCATATCATCCGTTACGGCATCTTCATCCTCAGATAGGAGTGGGAGGCATTCAGGACCGTCAGGTACATGTTCCACGATGACTATTGATTGTTTTCTTTGGCCTCCCGCCTTACGTCTCCGCGAAGACGTGGCAGAAGTGTCAGACTCAGACAGAGATGCTCCAGAGGATTGAGACTCGTCTTCGTCTATGCGCTAGCGACCAGATAAACTCAGACCGTGTTTTTGGTAAGGCTGACGTGCATGGGCAGACTTACAAGGCTTGTCTCCACGTCTTCCATCTCACTGGTCTCTCCACCGCTCTCCTCTTGTTTCACAGGACGGGAAACATTGAAAGCGCCTGCGCGGTGTAGCATGTCAATCTTCGCGTCTGTCTTCATCTCGTTGCGTGCAATCTTGCAAGCAGTCAGGTATTGTGGTTTTTGGTGCCCAGAGAACTACTCACCTCATTCATCAATCTCCTGGAGAACATGGCTTCCATGTTCTTCATTCTCTCATCCATCTCTTTCATAACTTCTTCCCGCGTTTCAACCTCTATCATTGCTGAGCGTAACTGGGACTCGGCGAGCTAGTCATATTTGGATAAGTTCAGAGCTTTCCAGCAAAGGCGAGACTAACCTGCAGCCGCAAAATCTCTATCTCCTCGAACAGCGCGTCTACCATAGGGTCAAGTGGTTCATCCTCATCATCTTCTCCGGGCTCGCCGATTTCTTCGTCCTCTATACCACTACGTTTAGGCGGTGGGGTTTTACATCAAACACGAGACATACCTTCGACTATTTCCAGCTGGGTCTGGCTGACCTTTCTGTCTGCACCAACGGACGATAGCGTCACCTTCCTGCGGTTGGGCGCGAAGCCCACGCCCAACAATCCTGGTCTGCTCTGAGACGGAGTCTGGGATCTCTTTGTCGGGGAGGGGGCGCGATGCAGCGGTGCCGGCACGGGCTTCGTACATACTTCCCTAGCGACGGCGGCGAACTTCATGACATGGGAGTTCTCATCGTAGCCCGTGTCATACGGGTTCACGTTGACGATCATAACCGCCCTCCCTTCGCCTATAAAATAGTCCATGAGGATCTCCGTCAACTTGCTATGCCTGAAGGGCACGACTGCCAATGCCCGCTTGACATCCCGAGTATCACTTCTCCCATTTCCTTGCAGGGACTGAGCGATGCGCTTCTGGTTGGCTCGCATGACTTCCATGCACTGACCGAGGACCATGAGGGACTTGTTAATATTCCCAGCTTCCTTGAGGCGGTCGCCCGTGGTGTGGGTGTGTTTGGTACGCTCCGATCCGGCAAGGTCAACGAGCGTTAGTCGAGAGGTTTGATAGGCAGTGGGATCCTGGATATCCGAGTCAGTCAAGACATCACAGGTGTAATCCCTTGGTCCTTACATTCCTCTCGCCCCTGTGATTCCTGAGAATCTTGATAGTCACGACGCCATGGCTCCTGCTGCTCTGGCTATTGGCTAAAGTACCGAATACGCGTCTATGCAGTTGCCCTAGTTTCAACAAGGCTTTGGCTTCTGCCGCCGAGTTAACCCGCAGCTGACGCAGTCCTGCAATGTATTTCCCTGCACTTGATGCATCTCCGGAATCAGCGGCCGGCGCCGGTTTGACAGGGAGAGCCTTCCTCGTGAGCAGCAGCGAATTTGTATTCGCACTGGACAACGCAGGGATGAACGAGGGTCGGATAGTCTTATTGCCCGTGCTAGACTCATCGCAGTTAACGGTGTGCAATAGGTCGTACGCCTTCTCGTTGTACACCTCGGCGTACGACATCCAGACGGAATATTCATAGTTACGGTCGAGCTTGAGCGCGGTCGGATCGACGTCGATTTCAGCGGGCTCCTCAAGGTATTCAGCTAGGACGTCGGCCAGTGCGGGCTCACTTGGAGGCGTGGGGGTTGACCGCGGCGTAGTTGGCTTCATATCATAATCTGCATCTTCGATTCCCTGAAGACGCACAGGACGATACTATCGAAGATAGACTCAGACACTGGATAGGGCGGAAAGAGTAGCATGACTGACCCGGTGATCTGCGTGAAGACCGTCTATACTGTTAAATATAACATCCAAAGTCCGTGGCAGGATTCCGGCACTGCCTGGGGTGTTGCCTCCTTGAACAGTATACGTCTTGCCCGAGTTCGTTACCCCATACGCAAACAACAGGCCATTCTGTCCATCCAATAAGTCTTGTACCAAAGGCAAGGTTGTGTGGGTGAAAAATTCGGACTGCGCGGTGGTGATAGGGAAGACATGGGAGAAAGTATATATGGAAGACGGTGGGGTGGCAGAGAGGCGGAAACGGTGTGATTGATTGCTTGTGTTCTCGTCTTGCGATGGGTCGGTCATCCGGACGGCCGTGTCCGAGAGCTGTTCTAGGTAGGGTGAGGAGGCAGGCTCATCATCTCCCAGGTGAGGGCGAATGCGGAGGTACGCCTGATGTCCCTCAGTTCAATGTCCGGTAGAACTATTACTTGCTACGCACTCTAATAGGCTCCTTATCTGTGCTGGGCGTGCTGAGAGATGATGCGCTATTACTTCCCACTAACTTCGTAGGCTTCTGGCCTGCTGGTGCTTTCTTCGTTACAATCTCGGGTGAAGCGTTCCTGTTCAGCAAGGGTTTCCTCGCTGTGGTCTTCTTCGTTGTGGCTGTCGGCACAGGAGTCGCCGAGCCTGTCTTCGTTGCTGCAGCACGGGTCGTTCGAGTCGTGGTCGTGGGTTGCGCGGCGGGTTTAGCCCGAGTTGAGGAACGTGTGGGGACCGCTTTCGCCTTGCTCGCCATGTCAAATGTGTAGTAAGTATCCAAGTGAGACGGTATACAGATATAAAGCAGTTATCGAGGCAGTCGCAGCGACTTGAACTTGCTTTGTGCCGCTGTCGGAACGTTGCGCCACGCGACGCGTCTCGTCACGTGTGGCCACGACGAGGCGAAACATGTGATCGCGCCGCGTACACTGGACGCGACGAACAACACGCTCTTGTCGTGTACCGCCAACAACGCTGGCCAGCTTGGCCGCCCTCCTTGGATACTCAGCCTTTCTCTTCATCTTGATTGATTGTTCCGCTGGCATAACTAAAGTCTGGCCTACTACACTGCGGAATTTTGACAAGTATTGCGTCGTCCAACATCCATCACGCGGACAGAATATCTCATTACCCAACGATACCCGAGCGTAAACTACAATGGCGAAGAGCAAAGAATCTCCCAAGAGTAGGCGTAAATCTATTGCCGTGCCTACACATAAGAAACCGATCCAACCAAGGAGACGTGCTCACAGCATCGCCCCAGGGGATACCGTGCTCAGTCCGCGTGCTCTAGCACGACGCGTGCTTGTTCGTTACGATACTCCATAAGTCCGTCTAATTTCTATATACTGAATATTGTGCTCCTTTAGGTCCCCCGCAAGAGTATCCTAAAGTCCTCCATCAATGTCGGCGAAGCAAGCGCTGATGATGCTACACAGACCCTCGACTTCACGCGAGATTATCGCAGCGTTGCCCCGCGCAAAAGCTTGGGACGGCGAGTGAGCTTCGCTCAGCATGCCTACGTGAAAGTATTCGAGCGGGATCTGAGGTCTCCCCAATCCTCTTCCCCCGTGAAGGACGACGGAGGACAGTCACCGCAAGACTCTCCGGTGCAGGAGTCTCCGAAAGTAAATGACGAGAACGACTATCCGGGAGCTAAGCCCATCGTACGTCGTCGCAGTTCCGTTCGGCGTTCCTTAGGAGACAACGGCGACATGACCGCGTACTCGGATATGGACCTGGAGGCAGAGGATGCAGGCGCCGGGCCATCACAAATATTTGCCTCCTCGGATGATATCGGGGTGGGGGACTATGACGATGAAGTGTGGGACGACGATGAAGAATTTGACGACGAGGACATGGAGATTACCGAGGCTATTGCTAACAATATCCAACGACGTCGTTCGTCGGCAGCGCGGCGTCGCTCATCTATTGCTCCCCCGCCACCCCCGGAAGAGCAAGAAGAGGAGCAGCCTCAACAGGCGGAGCAGTCCTATGAGGAGGAAAACTCTGTCCAGTCTCAAGGAGAAGGGAACTCGCTCCATTCGCAGTCGTATGCCAGCGAGACATCCGGAGACCAGTCTTACGAACCGATGGAGTACACTGTACCTCTCAGCCAATCCATACGAGGGAAGAGGCCACCGAGCGATGCATTCCTAGCCCTCCGAGCAATGACTCATGCGAACGATAACTCCTTCGAAGAGGAGCCCCTTTCCGATGACGATGCTGATCTCTACGTGCGGAAAGACCACTGGGACGGGGACGACCTGGAACCCGATAGCAAAGATGTGTCTGGCTCAGAGGCGATGGAGCTCACGGATGCTTTGCATAGACTTAAGGTTGCGAGAGATTCTCTTGGGATAGGTGGTGCGGCTAGCGGGGAGGGTCCTGCCGACGAATTTCAAGAAGCGAGTTTTACAGACTCAGAAAACAGCTTCGAAGACATGGGTAACCAGACACTCAATCTCACAGGGCTGGTAAGAAGAGCGAGTATGGGACAGGTTGATATCGGGATGCCTGCGAATGAGGAACCCGCTCAGACAGAGCCACTTCACGTCTCGCCAGCCTCTGCTTGGGAGAAAGAGAATGAACATCCAAAGCCCGCTCAGGAACCCACCGTCGACAGTACTTCTACCATTCCAGTATTTAAGCCTCCCACCCACGGACATATATTCTCTGCGCCGTCCCCTTTCAAGCCTTCCAAATCTACGTCTTCCACCCCTACTGCTCCACTGACTACCCCCAGACCCTTCGTGTTTTCCAAACCCTCACAGGACTCAGCTGAAGCTGAAGCCGGCCGACCAACAGATTCGGAAACGCCAGCACCTGGGGCATCTGCTGCTAAGCCTGCCCCCCGACCTCCAACTTCGCCTGGCAAATCTAGGCTTCCACAACCTACCTCTGCTTCTAAACCTAAGTTCTCAGCAGCCTTCGCTCCACCTAGCGCGCGCAAACTTCCCAGAGCCAGGAGCATCGAAAACCTGAATGACACCTTAGATCCTGAGGACCGACCCAGTCCGGCGAAGAAGCTAAACCTCGGATCGGGGAAAGCCCTTCCACTATTTCCGGCACCCTCGCCGGCACGGGCCTCCCCAGCGAGAACTGTGGGTCGTCTCTCACCCAGCAAAAAGGCAAAATTCGAGAAACCGACCGGTGCCGATGCTGAACCCGATAACAGGCGCAAGAGCGTTGGGCTACGAAGACCGCCTGGTTACTTGGCGCAAAGAAGGAGTATGGGGGCGCCCTCTGCAGTGGCGGATGGCGACAAGAACTCTGCCGCTGGGCCGTCTACCGACAAGAAGGCGGCACTGGTAAGGCTAGGCCGTGCTAGTGTCGGGTCTGCTGGCAACGTCAGTCTGGGGCCGTTTGACCCAAGGGCGGAGGCGACCTCTAACGATGAGGTTGAACCGGCGCCTCCTGCTTCGCCTAGAGTTGCATCTCCGGCTCCACGAGGTGCTGCGAGAGGCCCACTGTCCCCCGCGCCTTCGGCCGGGAGAGCAGAGAGTCCTGCTCGGGCATCGCCTGTCGTGGGTCGTGTGTCACCTGCACCATATGTTGCAAGTATCTACCCTCCCTTGCCTGAAGGCAGACAGGGTAGTCCTTCGCTCGGTCGCGCATCTCCAGCACGTGCCACCGCACCCTCTCTATATCCTCCATTGCCCTCTTCAAGCAAGGACAGCTCAGCTCATGCATCTCCGGAGGAACCTACGATCGTGGATGTGACATATGGTGAAGAAGAGATGGCGGGAAACCCGACTGAGGAGTGGGTCAAAAACATGCAGGATGCAGGTAGCTTTGACGACGAGGAGGAGGTTAGTTGCACAATCTCTCGCTCGTGCTTAAACTGACAGAGAGCATCCGACAGCCTCCAATATCCATCGAACAATTCTTCTCTTTGACCGGGATCAAATTCATGGATGAGCTGACAGTGCCCCGCCGGTCTACGTTCCATCGCGCTGGCATCCAAGCCAGGAATCGGCGAGACTCGGCTACTTCAGACACCGGAGAAGAGCCCGTTATTCCTCTGGCAGAATACGTCGTAGCGATGACTGTGGATGTACCACAACTAGAGCTATATTCGCATGTCGCCCAGGACCTGCAGGCGTGGATTGAACATAGCAAAGCCAACTTCAAGCAGGCTGAGGCGGAGTGTGCCAAAGTAACTCCTGAACTGTTCAGGGAGTATTCCAGGTGTAGTGAGGAAGATCGACCTGACTTCCAGGTAAGTATTGCATTGTGCTTGTAGAAACTTGGGCTGAGTGATCACTACCTTCCTAGCAAAGCCTGAAGTTGATCAAGAGCCATGCCCACGACCAAGCAAAGTCACAATGGTATGAGTGGAAGCTTCAGTGGGTCGAGCAGCTCCAAGAAACGGCTGATCAAGGATTTGCTGATCTCGAAGCTGTAAGATATCATGGCAATTATCCGATGGCGGAGTCTCATATTCGCTATATAGGATGCCAAAGTGCTTGAATCGCTCACTCGACAAGTACAGGACCTGCTACCGTCTCTGCGAGAAGAGTATGAGCAAGCCATCCGTGAGCTCGAACAGGAACAAGCTGAAGTAGACGAACTCGAGAGGAGTGATCAGTCATATCTCAATGAACTGAAGGCCACTATCGCGGAACAGGAGTAAGTCTTCCAAATATATATAACTACTGAGCGCTCGCTTCATCTCATCTCGTTCGTAGCTTCGCTCTGGACTCATTCAGGACCGAGATATCCGAGAGCAAGGCCAAGCTAGCAAACTTGTCAGAGAAACTGGAGGAAATCGAACAGCAGAAGAAAGAGTCAATGCAAGCTATTTCGGATGCCGAGCGCATGGCCCACGTCCAGAAAAATAGCACAAAAGCTGAGGTCTTCAAGTTGCGAGGTGCGTGCTGCTTAAACTGCGTTGCCATGGGCGCTTTGTCTTACAAAAAACATTGGAAGATGAACTGGATTCAATTCAGAATCTGCACTACTGGCGTCCATCCAAGATCCAGTCGGACATGATTGAACTCATATATGACTCACGATACCTGGTTTCCATTCCCTGCACGAAATTCAAGCCTGTTCGACACGAATTCAGCGTCACGCGCCTCACCGACCCTTCTACCAGAAGACGGGATGACTTCCCCAAGCTTACGGAGTATTCCTTCAAAGCGGGTATGCATCAAGTAATGACTGATCAAACAATAGTGAATGTACGCCAGGTAAGACATAATATCTTGGTGCCACGATAACTTTTCTCAGACGTTCGGTTATAGATCGTGCACCGCATGAGCGACATTTGGGCTGCCTGTGCACAACTCCGGCAACAATTCACCTTCTTGGGTGTAAAATTCCCTACATCTGTTCGTATTGATTTGAGCGGGGGTGACAAGCCTCCTGGCTTGATTGCCGTTGCCGCAATCCTCTATGCCGGGAAAAGGGCCAAGGCTCTCGTCAAATTTTCCTTCGATGCGGACACCTTTTTCCGCTGGCCGAAATCCATTGACTCCCTCAAATGCGACGTAGAAGTCGCATACGGGCCTATTGAGTAAGTACTAGCTGATCTGAAGTTTACGTGGTACTCACCGTATGCACCGTGCAGGTCGACGCCGATACAAAATGCGGTTCGCGGCCGATTGGCGAAGGCCACTCCAGCTGACAACCACGGCTGCCTGCTAGATGCTTGTATCGAGGGCTCCGAACAATATGATTGAAAATGATTATTTTCTTTGCCATGTATATCTTTATTGCATCTTGTTGTATGTTCATGCAATGCTTTCCCATTATGCGCACCAGTCAAGATTCTCCTTTGTACACATTGAATACATTAATTACATGCGGATGCAGATGTTTGTACATATGTGGACGTGAGACGGAGCATCACAAAGATCGAGAATATTCACAAAGCATGTCCCTGATTGACGTCTTGGTCAGTTCTACGCTTCGAGGAAGTCGAACAAAGTGCTCACATAAATCACACATAAAATTTAACACAAGAAATCAAAGAGATCGAAGACGCCTCTGGCTCTCGTCCAGCCCGGCCAAGAGAACCGCCAGCGTCTCTCGTGATGACCGTACGAACTCCAATTCACCCTCGGCGATGTCGGCAACGGCCTCCCACTGAACAGCGGCGCCTTTCGCAACATCAATGATTGCCCATCGTTGTCTCTCTACAGAGAACGTTGACTCTGCAGATGCTAGACGTTCGAGTACGGCTTGTTGGATGGCCTGCTCGCGAGCAGCTTCTACCTGGCCAAGCTGCTCGTGCAGAGTGTTGATGTATGCTTCTTTCTCCTCGTTCGTCCGCTCGCGCACCATAAGCGAGCCACGCAATTGCTCCTCCAGCTGGCTCACTTGCTGCGACAAAGTCTCCTCGTCGCGGACTCGTAGTTCCTGTGCAGCGAGCAGCTTGCTCTCAAGCTCCTCGATACGTGCCGCACGTTCCTGAGCTAGCTGCTCCGCAGAGGCTAGCTGGAGACGGAGGAGCGTAAGGATGGCGCCGTCAACTGCCGGTACTTCCGGCCTCGTGCTCTCGTAAGGATGCGTTGTGCGTGCAGGCGACGGTGTCGAATCTGGGAGGAGTACCTGAGATATGGACGTGAAGCCCCCAGGCGAGGGCAGTGCACTCAGCATAGGGCTGTCTGGGAGATCCAAGTTCATTCGCATGGGGCTGATTTGAGGGCTAGCCACCGCCGAAGCATTGAAGGGTGCCTGTATATCGTGTAGCATGTGTTCAACATCGTCCTCACCCAGCGATTTATTCGCGGATGCAGCCAGCTGATCCCAAGATAATATAGACTGGCGGTTCTTATTGGAAAAACTGGGGAATAGAGGCGAGTTGTCCGTAGATGCAGGGATGGGGGATAGGAATTGTGGTTGTGACCTTCCGGCAACCGCCTTGCCAGCGCGAGATGGAGTTTCTGGGAGCCCGCTCACATCGCGGTTTCGCGGAATTGGCTGGCTGCGGAGGCGAGGCATGGCCGGTGTTGGAGCAGTAGGGGAAATCACGGCAGAGGACAGCAGGAACTCGACATCGTTCGCGTCTACGCTGTCGGTACTACTATCTCCGAGGTCGACGGTGACTGTGGGTGTCCTGGTAGCGTCGCTTTTGCTGACAGCAGACTTCCCACCGATGCTTTTTGGCGAGTTACTCGCGGACGATGCCGCCGATGCGCCCTTGACGACTTTGCGCAGAGGACTCTGCTGCTGGGTGGCTGTGGACTTGGTCCTGCCTAATCCAAAGGCGTTGCGTAGTGATGAGGGGGGAGTAGTAGGTGTGCGGGTTCGCAGGGAACTGACGGAAGAGGCAGCCGAAGGGGGCCGCGCAGCAGTGTCTTTCTTCGCCGTCTCGGCCGCCTTCGTCTTCAGGGAGCGCGTAGGGGATGGTTTACTAGGCGGAGTCGTGCGCGGAGGCACAACGTTCTTCTTCCTGGGAGGGGTGCTCGGGGCGGGCGACACATTAATGGCACTAGTAAGGTTAAATGCAGAGCGCTTGGGGAGCGGACTGATAGCCCGTTCATGTTTGTCGAACGGTGAAGGGGGCTCCAAGCCAGGCGACTTGGATGCCTCCTGGTCGTCCTTATCATCATCCGTCGAGCTACTGGCCCGTTTCCTGCCCGCCTTGCGCGGGGGAGTAACAGGCTCCTTGATAGTCTCCAAGCCAGGCTTGGGTTTGTACTTGGGCAGCGCGGTCCCAACAGAGTTTCTCTTGGCCCGGAGAGAGGAGGATCTGGTGACGGGCGTGATGCCCGGCGGGCTCATGGTGCTCTTCTTATCGGACTGCTCCTCAGACGAGGAGGACCCGGTTTTGGAGGCGGTAGAGGCAGCGGCCGCCCTCGTCCTTCGCGTCACAGCCTTCGCGTCGGGCGACGGCGCGTCCTTCTCTTTAGCGGGCGCGAGTGGCTTAGGAGCTTCCTGGTTTCGAGCGATACCGATAGCGCTAGTGCGTCGGGAGTGCGTCTCCTTCTCCTTCGGCCTCTTGGCAGCCCTCTCCTCGCCTCCCCCTCCTCTACCGTCCGACTTCATCACGTCCACGAGGGCCTTGCCAACGGACGCCAGGGTCAACGAATGCCGTATAGAGCTTCTGGTAACGCGAGTAGTGGTGGGGAGCGCAGAGGCCGCGGCGGAAGAGGTGTCGGGTGGCATGAAGGTCGTAACGTCGTCGCTGATATAGAAATGTAATGTATATGTCGCCCGCAAAAGGGAAAACTCGTAAAGAGCGTCACGGTGTTCAGTACAGAAGTGAAACAGTCTCAGCCACAACTTCAACTTCCCTGACAACCTCCGACTCGCGTGGCACGTGCTGCGCTAATCACTTGCTTCTTTTGGTACCAACTGCCCTAATCCAGTCGTTGTGGCACCCATCGTGGCTCGAGAATGCGGGGTACGCTGTAAGAATAGCAGGCTACACTACCACATGAACCGACCAACACCCTCCCTTTCTCGGTACAAAAACACCCACATTGTCGCCGCGTTGATCGCTGCGTACCACGCCCCCTCCAAGAGCACGCCCCAACCCGGGACATCTGGCACCTGCGCGCGCAGCAGAACATAGGGAATGAGGAAGTATCTAGGTTCAAGCAAGGGGGTTGGAAGGAGGGTGGGCAGCACAAAGACGGGCAGTAAGAGGGTTTGGAGTAAGGTCTGGTCGCGTCCTACACCCTCAAGGTCAAGAAAGCAAGCTTCGGAACTAGTGTTATGAACGTACCAACACGCAGGAACCACGCCCATGCGCAGGCTATGTACCCTGGTATCAGGAGATAAGGCACTACTGGATGCAGCATAAATATGCGCCGCCAGACGTAGAATGTATAGTGGCGATTGTCAGAGAGCAAGAAAGGGTGATGTATCCTGAACCAAGGTGAGCATTCCCGGGCATGTATCCAAGTTCTAAGCGCTACTAACGTGAACTTGTATACAGTGACCGCCATTACTGCAGAGACAATGGCAGTGACCAACGAGCGCCTGGAAGCAACATGTCAGTCATGAGATCGCAGATGAAACAGATATAGCTACCGCAAATTTCCAAACATTCTATACCGGACTTCCTTGATTAGCGATTTAAGTCCTCCCGGGCCACTGACGAGAACTGGCCATCCAAAAATGGTCACAAATCCAAGGAAGTAGTACAGTTGCGGGATATGAAAGGAAGGTATGTGATTGGATTTATCACCTGTACGACGCATTCAGTCACATCCTGATCCTTTCAGCACGTAAGAGAAAGGTATACCCAAGACGATCCCGCCATTGCATACAACAAAGGCGCCGAACAATGCAACCACAATTCCGTAGGGAATAAACTTCGGCAACACATCGGGGAGGACTCTGGGTGCGCTTAGGATAGATCGCAGTAAATCACCTAGCAACGCAACACCGAGATTTGCTTTCAGTCCAGTTACGCGCCAAGCGTAAAAAAGCATACAAGGACGCACCAGGGCCAGCCTCCAGCGCGGGCGGGTCATGCAATTTGGCAGGCATACTCCCATTCGGAGCCGCGCGACGGAACCGCAGGTACATCAGCTGGCTCGAAGCGTAGGCGTACAGAACCCATACAACGTTTGTCTGGCGGAACGTGCAACTGACGAGGCCTAACTAGCAGACACCCTTCCGCTCCGTCAGCCCTCAGCTCTTCATTTTGGACGTGATCCGGACGGGACATAGCGGACCAATTACAATGCGAAGGAGCGTGACTTACCAGCCCGGCTAGCCAGTGCTTTCCTTGGGACGCTGCTACCACAGTCAACACCACGAAGAGGAGACTCGGGACCTCCGTGTAGTATAGGAATCCGAAGAACCAAACAATTGGGAAAGCGGAGAGAACGACCGATTCCAGCGTCGGCGCGAGCAGCGACGACGGCGGTCGAACGCGCTGATGATAGCTTAGGAGATGAGTTAATGCTATGGGAAGCGCGACTAGGGCGAGCATGGGTGTCAGTCGCAGCATTTGCAAGTTGCACTTGAAGAGGAATATCTTCTTCAATACCCAGCTCACGACGTAGCTGTAACCCGGGAAAGCTGAACGGACGGCACCGGGATGTATACATTGATACTCACAGTCCTGGAGGAGTGGTAATCTTGGGATCCCAGTACGAGAACTCTCCCCGACAGTACGCCTGCGCCTGTGGAACATGAAATGGTTCGTCCTTGTAGCTCGCTATGAGACTCTTGTTTGCAGCAGGGCAGTTAGTGGGATGAATGTACCATGTACGGCTCCGTAACGATCCCGTTTAGTTCCCGCAGGACCAGGATGCATATGCCGGTAAAGACAAGATGGTGCATGGGAGAGGCCATGCTGTCCGGCCCTATAGTTCAATGAATGGCATACAAAATGAAAACAGGTGAGTTGGACGATGCCAACGCTGCATTGCTGGATCACTTGGACGCACAAGTTCCTTCTTTTGGAAGTAGGACTGGCACGATCGACATTTCACGTGACCGTCGCGCGCCCTCTGCGACGAGGTGTCAATGAAATCGCTTTGACCAACGTCGCTGATAAATTGCCCGACCTCGAGGCCACAGAGGCACAGCACAGATAAAGTCTATAATATATTGGACGCGATACAAGAGCGCCAGATTAGAATCAACGGTATGTACCAGATATTATCAAGGGAAGGTTTTGCTCTGCTCAGTCAATAGTCATCCCAGTCATTGTTTGGACCTAGAGCCATCAGGCTGAAACGCAAGTTCTGATTCTTCTCCCGAAGAATATACTCTCTCACAACACCTAGTGCTCCTTCGCTGAGCAAATCCTCGTCCGGGCCAACTCCAGGTCCAAGATCGACCGGGCCTTTGGAGTCTCCGTCCATACGGTACAGATGACCACTTCGAGCTGACTTGACGAAGCAAATGTAATGGACGTCCACTTCGTCCTCGGGATTGTCTGGTGCGACCGAGTCTCCCTGCGTCGCAGCAGCAGCATACGCGCGCTCCAACTCTCCTGACCCCTCCAGTGCCAGAGCGCGGCCCTCAGGGGCCAGAGGAATGACGTCCTCCAGTATTTTGCCGAGTGTAGAGTCTTGCGCTGCACTCTGGTGAGGCACTGGGAAAATGGCCGTGAAACCATGCTCAGAATGACTTACCGATGTACTCTCGTGCTTCGCCGTTCGCCACGGCATGCAGGATCGCATACAGCCCGCAGGCATTGTTAATGGTCTGCTTAAACCAGACTGCATCCTCGCCTGCACCGCTGCCCGCATACTCCACTAGACCAGATTCCTCCTCCGCTTTGTGCTTCGCGTATGCTGCGGAATCTGGCAATACTAGCACGAGGGCATAGACAGGACGAGGAACAAAGGCTAGTAGCTCTTGATCATCGAGAGATAAGACGTCGCTGAAGGCTAGTGACTGGGATACGCCAAGTTTGTGGATGAGGTCTGTGAATACGATCGGGTTTGACTCTAGTGGTATGAAGTGTTTGCGATATTGCTTCGAGTCGGTCATTATTGGGGAGGATTTGGGCAGTGATTATAGGTGGTATAGGTATGTATTATAAGTGTCTGTCGTTCCGCAGGACGTAGGAGCCGCGTATGCTCGGACTCGGACTCGGTTGGTTACATTCTAAGCAGCAATTGACGATGACGTATGCAGCTAACTTTGGGCGCTAACGCTGCCCATGCCGCCGGCTTTCTAACCAACGCTTGCATGGCGTGGCGGCGACCGTAGACGCCACCATGGCCTCTGCAGACATTCAGAAGTATCTTTCTCCCCCCAGCGGCCAGACAGCAGAGACAGCAGCCAGCCAATTTTTGGATGCACGATTCGCCACCTGGAGCGATGTGCAAGCGTCCGACGGTTTGGAAGACCTGGTCGAGCAGAGTCGCAGATTGAACGAGGAGTTGCAATCCCGAGTGCGTTGCATGATGACAAGGCTTTACGGTTCCGGTCTCAGTCATTTGTCGTAGCTCAGCTCTCAGCTTCCGAGGCAAATATCCAGGAACGCATAGCTGAGACGCGGTCGTCGGCGGAAGCACAGTTGCATAAGGCGCAGGAATTGTCACTGCTGCGACATTCTCTAGCGGATGAACTGTCGTACCTGTCCAATGAACTGGTGTCGTCGTTGTCAGACGAAGCTAAGCAACCTACCCTGCTGGAGGAGATTGAGACCCTCCATCGCAGTTTGAAGGAGGTCGAGACGGTCAAGAGCTACGTGCAAGTAGTCGAACGTGGTTTGCAGCTAAGGTACGCAGATGAGGCATGGTTCTGTACAACGCGCACATTTAAGGCAACGTGTCTCACCACACGTAGCGAGGCTGCAGTTCAGGACGTCACATCCACGCCTCCAAGCACGCCCGTATCTCGCTCGTCCCTGAAGAGATACGAGAAACTGCAGCAGTTCGTGGCCTCCATCTCCGACGCTTGCAACACCGCCGAAGACGGTGCTGGTCCTCAGAAGTTGCGTCTGGTGAGCTTCCTCGAGGCTATCCGAGAAAGCGCCTGGACTAGCATCAAAAGCGCTCTCTCCGAGTAAGCATCTATATGTAATCTCCGGCGATACCGCTAGGACTGACCCCTTCCCCTCAGACCGCTTCTCTCTGCCGCCGAGACCTTGCGATGGCCTATGAAGGTCGATTATGCCTCCGCTAGCCAGAAGGACAGAAACACATTCGAGGCCTCATTCCTCAGTCTCATAACCCTCCAGTCTATGTTTGTGATTATTCTATTTATCTCATTGCAAGAGGCTTATTCTTTATCTTCGTCCATCTGTAACGTCTGCACGACATGCCGGCATACAGCGGTGAGGAGTTACATCGCACATCTGCTCCCTCGACAAACCCGCAAGTGGGCCTATACCCGATGCAGGCGCTGGTACAGCCCGTATCTCTCCGATTCAAGTATCATTTTGAGGGATCCAGACAAACGAACAAGCTGGATAAGGTCAGTGTCCGCTTGGTGTCTGGTCACAGTGATGGCGTTTGACCAGTGAACACGTCCTACTTTCAAGCCCGAATGGTATTTCTCGCACGTACTCAATGTCATCACGGAGCAACGGGCCTTTATGGATACTGTCATCCAAAAACTTGTGGACTCTACGCCCTACAAGGGTGTAAACGCCTGGGTACGTCGCTCGTGTGTCCACTTTCTGCATCGTTCTAACATGCGAGCTGCATAGTGTGAATTAGTGCTACTTCTCCTCGCCTTGCCCACGCGGAAGATACTCAGGACAATGTCTGCTCTGCTGCCACATCCGTCCCTACTCGCCCACACGATATATCAAGCTTTGGCGTTCGATTCTGCGCTAAGAGAGGCGGGCTTCGGCCTTGCTCACACTACTGCCGGCAAAAGATTCCGAAAGCCACCGCTGCAGGGCGGCGAAAAAGCAGAGGATGATCATTGGCCGGGTGTGAGCGACGTCATTCTGGGACGAAGCGAGTGGTTCGAGGTGTGGTTGGAGGGCGAGCGGAAGTGTAAGTTACCCTTTCGCGTTTGCGTACGCAGCTTGACTCACGGACGGGTTCCCGTTAGTCGCGGAGGATCAGTACCACAATATCATAAGTGCCTCTGACGCCTGGTTGATCTCGGATGACGACGCGGACGAAGATGGGCGGATAGAACGGTCTCTGCGGCCGACCATATCCGCTAGAAGGGTCAAAGCCTTGATAGAGCAAGTTACTGGTATGTCAACAAATACGCATATTCTAGTCCTGTTGGCTTACACTATTCTAGATCGATATGCACCTCTACCGTCGTACAACCACCGGTTCTCCTTCCTCACGACTATCCAGCTCCCGCTGCTGTCGGCCTATCATTCTCGAATAGCTGCTTCCCTAGACGCATTCGAGACCCTGTCCTCCGCGTTCGTGCGCGCCGTTCCTGGGGCCATGACCGTCGGCGGTGGGAGCACGGAAGCGGGCGTGAAAATTGGCGACACTAGGAGACTAGCTGACGGGGTAAGGGGTACGGTAAGCCTTGTGAAGGCCTTCATCAGCGCCAGATTCGTAGAGAAGACTATGGTGGACTGGGGTGAAGACACGGTAAGAACTCCCCAGTCTCTGTATTCCGGTGATCTGATGCCTGCGTCATGAACAGTTGTTCCTGGAGCTGTGGACAGAGATTAACCGACAAGAGCCTCTTCGCAATAGCGCGAAGTTGAATCCTCTGTTGCCGGCTGTCGAATATAGACCTACGGATGTGCCAGAAGGGACTATCTACGATGAGCTGGTTGCACAGTATCGGAGGTTATCGGCCAGGGCCGAGGATATGATTGCTCAGCAGGTATACGGCGAAGTCGAGGGTGGACTCCGGCCTCACTGGGGAATGCTCTCTTCGTAAGTAGTAAATTCGCATGGGTACCCACTGTTCCAATCTCAATTGATTTCTTATAGACCTGATCCCGCCATGGAGGGGTCAGACGACCTCGCTATTGCTCCGACTATTCTCGGCCCGGTTGCGCTGCTGTCCTCTCACCTCACGTTCCTCCAATCGTCACTCCCAGAGATCACCTTCACCGTGCTCTACCGGCGCATTGCTGCCAGACTCTGCACCCATATCCTACACCGTGCGGTGCTCTATCGCGGGCGTAGGCGGCTGACGCTGAGAGAGGGCAGAGCTGTCCAGAGGGAATGTGAATTATGGGTCGACACCTGTCAGATGGCCTTCGGGAGCACGAGTATCGGCCGCCCTCGGGTCGAGGCGCCGTGGAGGAAACTGATCATGGCCGCACGGCTGTTGGGCGCGGAAGGAGAGCGGTGGGAGCAGGTCGTCGACGCTACTTTTGGCACCAAGGGGACCGCGGATTGGGAAGATGTCATGACCGATGCCGTTGGCTATTGCGAGCTTGGGCGAGACGAGGTGATGCAGATCTTGCGAATGAGAGAAGATTTTGCGCAGTAGTTGGGGTTGTTCTCAAGGTTTGTAATTCATGAGCTTTATGTCCCTCGGGTTACCTTGCTTGCCATAGTTTACGGTCGAGCACCGGACATTGATATTCGATTTGTATTCGATCTATTAATGGATACAGGGGTGCGGGGATATAGTACAGGACCACAAGTCGGACCCAAATAACAATACAGAATCCAAGAAAGCAGAGATCACAGACACAGGGACAGAAACCATCATGCATCAGGGTTTAAATCTTATAAACGATGCCATCGCTCAGCATGAGCTCGTTGGCCTCCGTCATTGCCTGACATGCCAGCGTGGCCTCACCCGTCCCGAATAGCGCATCTGTGGAAAGGCCTTCGTTGATCATAGGCAAAAGATCGGATAGGAAAATCTGCTCCTCGTCTTGCAAATTGGTCGCGAACAGATTGGCCAAACGGGTACGGAACAGTTTCAATCTGGTTATAAATGATTAATCTCCCAGCCCTGGAGTGCTCCTAAAGCAATATCCTACTCACCGTTCTGGCCGGATACCGCCGTCTTCGGCAGGGCCGCCTTGCTGCTGCTCAACTTCCATCTGAGCATCTTGACTATCTTCACCCCAGATAGGGTCCTGGCTCTCCTGGGCGGCGGGGGCAGCTTGCGCCTGGCCCTGCTGCGTAGGCGGCATACTCATCCGTGTACTCTGCCCTTGTGACCCTTCATCATCGGATTCAGATTCGTCTGATTCTTCGTCGTCGCTTCCCTCTCGCTGTCCTTTGGCCCGAGCCGCCCCAGTGTTGAGCTTTCGCTTCTTGTGCTTTCGTCGACGCTTGAGGACCTCCTTGTAGAGAGCGAAGCGGATGATTTCCTCTGCGACTTCAGCGTCAGCTAACTCGACCTTTGCTGAGAGCCGCGCTTTGGCGTGAGCAGTCGATAACCGAATCAGGGTCTCGAGTGTACGCGCTGTAAGCGGGGACGTCTGATTGCAGGGTGTGTCAGGTCAGCTCATGTATGGGTTAGAGTATAGACAACATAGGTTCACCTTCTTCTTGTTCGATTCTGCCTCTTCGTTCCTCAGAGTAGCATAGACTTCCACAATGTAGTCTGCAGCACCCTTGGTCAAGACCGGTGCCGGCTTGCTCTTGGCATACTGAATATACTTCTTGACGAATTGAATGTTCAATACCTCCACTTTCTTCTCCTTTTTCCGTGACCTCGTGGCACGAGCCCCGGCTACACCGATGTGCAACAGTGGGTCGTATTTTTCAAATGGACTGCTGTCCTGCTCGGCTTCGGCTTGCCCAGAGCTGGGGTTGTCAACAGACAGCGGCTGGGCTAGCGAGTCATGGATGGGTGTGCCTTCCTCCACACCTGGAGGAAGGTAACGATGCATTCGGAGAACGTGGTCTGCAATCATACGATCTCGGGTCTCGTCGACATCGTCGGTAACGATGAAGAGGAGATCGAAACGGGATAGAAGGGAGTCAGGGAGCGCGATGTTCTTGTGGGGGTCTTTGTGTACATCGTACTAATAGCGAACAGTCAGTTCCCCTCATAGTCCCAGTAGCTACACCTGGCTTACCTGTCCATAAATTGGGTTAGCCGCAGCGACGACGCTGCAACGCGCGTTCAGACTGGTATGGATCCCCGCTTTGGCGATGGTAACAGTTTGCTGCTCCATGACTTCGTGAATGGCCACTCGGTCAATATCCGACATCTTATCGAACTCGTCAATACAGACTACACCACGGTCAGCTAGGACCATGGCACCAGCTTCGAGCCTTCGCTCGCCGGTCTCGCGATCCGAAGTAACAGCTGCGGTAAGACCTACACCGGAGCTTCCTCGCCCTGTCGTCGCAATAGCTAGCGGAGCAGTGTTCAGGACGAAACGCAAAAGTTGAGACTTTGCTGTGGACGGGTCTCCAACCATGAGCAAGTTGATGTCACCACGGATATGCGTCCCGTTTGGAAGGTTCTTCTCAGCACCTCCGAGGAGTAGAAGAAGGATGGCTTTTTTGATATAGTCGTGCCCATAGATAGATGGAGCCAGCGAGCTGGATAAGAGGTCGAAGATTTTGCTGCGCTTCGAAAGCTGATTGATCTGGCGGATGTCAGAATCAGTGAGGTGCGTTTGCGCAATGCCGCCTCCAGCCTTAGACGAGAGCAGATTGATGTTGTTGGCAAGGATAAGCGTTCTGCAAACAGCGTTGAGTTGACCTCGTAGATAGTCGACGACAGTCCCACTCACTTGAATGCACCTGATGCACCCCCACCTACGCTTCTGTATACGCCTACTAGTTGTATCCGATCACCTGGCTTGCATTTGTCCACCAAGTCGTCGTCCATGATGATATCAGTGCTTCGAGGGAGCTGGCCAGCTGGTGCCCGCTCGGGCATCTCTTGGATACTGATCCTTTGGTGGTCCCGAAAGACGCAGTAGCCGAACTCCGTCACAAGCTCGTGCCCCTCATCATCGGTCTGTGGGGTCACAGTAGATGTTGGGGGAAGATTTGATGTGGAAGTGGTGGCATCACGATACTCGCGCATGTGGAAGAGTTTGGTGTCCGGACAGTAGTGGACGGATTTGAGCATCTTGGGACGCACTAGAGAGCACCGGGTAACGATTCCCTCCAGAGAGATCATCTTGCCCAAGTGACTTGCCAAGAGTGTCCTCGGGCTCACATGATGGTCACCGAATGACCCACTGAGTCCGATGTGATACGTCTTGCCCTCAATATCGTGTTTTTCCGTGTCGTAGACTTGCTTGATCACGTTCAGGAGAGCGTCATCAAAGGCGGGCAAGAAGTCTACAGGTTGCTTGAGCAGCCCATCCGCGAAGTCGCGTCGGTAGTCGCGTAGGTCGTCGACGTTGACGATCAGGCGGTTGCGGTCTTCACGAAGCATCCGGCCGATGTCCTCCCTGTAGTTGAAGTGCGGGGAGTCTGAAGTTAAAAACTCCTCAAATACACGCGTTCTGTCGCGCATCTGATCATCTTGTGGAACCGGCTCGTCGAGGAGTGACATGGCGTCGAGTGGTGGTGGTAGAATCGGTAGTCGCGTCCTGAAAATGCAATTAGGGCTCGACGCGTCTGTGCACGCGAATGGGCCTGCCCTAAACCTTTCCACGGTATGAGACCACGGCACTGGCACCCTCTCCCGCCACCCGTCTGCAGAATTCAGGATGCTAGCTGCTGACTATCTGTGTGCAAATATTATGTGCGTATCTCCATTGCAACTTCCCTATAAAATGATTGCAGGGCAGCTGGAAACTATGGATGTCTTTACCAGTTCAAGTGAAGTCTTCCGACTCACCTTCGACACCTTCGATGCGGCAACACTAGATTTTTACCTGACTATTCATACGCTCGACGCTAGTCAGTTTGGAACATGCTATTGTCCCGTCTTCCGTACCTTTGGTCCCCTGTGCTTGCTTCCCTAGTCTCTCAAACTGTCAAGCAAGGGCAGCCGCCGGTTTCCAGGGTATCTCAGGATGCCACTTCCTTTCTGCACACTTGAAGGCGCCTTTACCGCATCCAATGACTCTGTCGTTCACTGACGAACGTGCGAGAGAATCATTCGGCCTTTTCCTGAGAAGTCTTTCTCGCTCCGCGGAACTAAACAAGGCTCTGTATCAAACTTGGTCCCCGATTCAAGTGGGTGGATCAAGGATAAATTCTGGGTCGCGCGACATCCCTGCCCTGTGACGCGGGTGGACATAGTTTGACGAGAATCTACGTCCGAATCAGGTGCAGTATACCGTTCCAGTCTTCAGTCATGCAACTTTACAACGGACCACATCTGTCATGACATAAAGTATCCTCAGGGCGGCGCTGGCTTGCCGCCCGTGCGTACAAGTCTGATATAGTGCGCGGCTTCCTGCGTGGTCTCTCCGAGCATTTAAAACAGGGCTGCGCTGACAGGTGAGTCAGATGGCAGTCACTCGGGTTTGTAAGCCGTCTCTTAAATATGACGCGCAGTTATGTGGCATTCCTCAACATTGCATGCGGCTCGGTGGGTATCAACGCCACCGCATCGGATCCTCTTTCGAACCGGCCAAATATACATGGAGACCTCCCTCGACTTGATCGGGACTTGTCCGTGTGTTCATGAATAGCACTGTCTTCTCTGCGTCCTAACTCGTCGCGACTAACGAGGCGCTCGCGCTCCACGCAATTAATCAAGCTGCCTTCCTTCCTACACCCCATCGCACTTCTTTCTGGACCATGTATGACGGCAGCATCTCGGCGATACTTGTGTCATATGAAGTCAGATAGCCTGCCCGTGAATCCTGCCCCCCTGGCGACGGTGTGCTTGCTTAGCATGCGACCGCGCTTGGTCCGGTTCATCCTTGGGACAATTTGTCTTGTGTCCAATGGTGAAGCAGGCACCCTGCGACTCTTGGATAGGATGACCTGAATGCCTGAGACTGCAGCGGTTCTCGCCGAGTTCAAACCCTAATGAGAAGAGCTGATTGGGCACATCCTGCATTCTTGTCATCGCCGTGGCGCCTGTCTAGTGCATAGGAACTTCATAACTTAAGGTAGGTTCACGACATTGCGAGTGGGATGATTGGGTGTCGGCGTAACATTGCTTCTAGTTGCCTAGCATTCTCCGACCATACAGAAGGCTTTAGTATGCTAGTACTTAATACTCCCCCTATTGGTCTGTCTCGCACAACCATTCATTGGCCTTTATTTGGAATCAGCGTTACAATTTTCAGTTCGCAGTGCTCGCAGAGTCCGTCCGACGCGGACGCAGTGGCAGACAGCCCCTGTACGTGCCTGAGGGACCTGATGAATCAACACAGTGGATACAGAGTCCCGACCTACCAGGAATGACAGCCTCACAGCTCCAAAAGGCTCTGCTAAGTGCGATCTACGCGACAGTTAGTGCGGCAGGTCTCCACGAGGAGGGACCAGCAGGCACAAGAAGCAAGGGTGTTTTGTCGAAGCACTTCCATAGATCTATGAAGTTGATCTCGTTTGCCACAAAGCGAAGATCAGGATGGACTGATATCAGCCCACAACCACCAAAGGAATTCTAGAGAACGAACAAGTCCTGAGACTTCCGTGCAGGTGGTGATACATTGACTCGAAGGTATAAGAATGACTACTGACTACTCACAACACGGATACTGATAACAACTGAAAATAAGCCTGCACCTGTACACCGATACTAAGATTGGACGAGCCATAAAAGTAGTTATATGGATGTAAGGGGAGCCTAGAGTGGGTCGGGAAGCAGTTTTGAAAGAATGTACGAGGGTCATGACACCTCTGCGTTCTCCCTAAAGAGATCGCGATGGAGCGGTAGCGATGACGATGAAGACGGCTACCTGGGGGTGCAGGAGGGGAGACGAGTCCGGTTGACATTGGTATAGTGGACAGTCCTTACTGAATAAATGTCATGGTCAGAAAGGAGTGCAGGGCAGAAGTGTATACACTCACAAAGGCATCGCAGTCCATCGTTAACACACTACCAGTCACTACCGGGCTCACGCTTCCAGTCGGACCCTCTCTTCCAGTCGCTGCCAGGCTCAGCCTCCCGCTTCCAGTCAGATCCGCGCTTCCAGTCGGATCCTCCCCGCTTCCAGTCGGATCCTCCCCGCTTCCAGTCGCTGCCAGGCTCAGGCTCGCGCTTCCAGTCGGATCCGCGCTTCCAGTCAGAGCCACGCTGAGGCTCGCGTCTCCAATCAGTGCCAGGCTCAGGCTCGCGCTTCCAGTCCGACCCGCGTTTCCAGTCGCTGCCAGGCTCAGGCTCGCGTTTCCAGTCACTACCGCCGCGCTTCACATCCTAGAGCAGAGATAAGAAACGTGACGATTGAATATGCAAGTAATTTACACTCACAATTGCAGCAGCCGGAGCAGCCTCTGGCGTCTGGATCTATGGGTCAGTACGGAAGCATAACAGCAGAGATCGCGTATGACATACGGGTAGGGCAGTGGATAAGACGGCGCCGATGAGGAGAAGGATTGCTAAGTAGAACTTTGAAAACATGGCGACGGGTTGCCGAAGGGATAGGATGAAAGGAAGGACGAGGGTAGGGCAAATTTAAATGAGCCGAGGGTGGAGATAGATGAGAGAGCACCTGCCGCACGTCCCGCAAGGTTGGGTCCCTTGCCGGCTAATTGCCGGTCACGTGCACCGGAGCCTGTTGTGCGCGATCGGCTCGGTGCAATTCTCCCAGATGCACACCATCATAAGCTTTTTCTTTGCCATACGCCGTGCCACCATTCCTCTGACATTCCGTCAGGGCTGCCCACTTGGTTGTTTTGTCTAAGCCTTCAATCGCGCACTCCTTCTGACAGAAACATATCGTTCGTCTTGTTCCTCGACGGACCCGCCCTTGTCTCAGGGCAATTTTGACGTAGTCATGCGGGTGCACCAGGTGCTGAGTGCCAGCAGCATCATAGATCTTATCGAGCAATCTTTGCTATCGGCCGTGCACCTGTTGCGAGCCATGACTTGCCCGTATTTATAGCCAATGCTTTACTTATGACGCGTGTGGGTCTGCTGTCGTGAGTCCTCACTCGCTGTCCACTCAACCAGACAAAGAATTCCATGAAATGGGTATGTTTACGTTCATATATCTACGCCCGGAAGGACATTTGCACAGTGACCAAGCGGATTGCGGGATCACCTCCGCGGTGGCGAAATGATACATTCCCTGGATCAGATCCAGTCGATTTGATTTGCGCACAAAAGTGAGCCGATAAGCGACCGCCCCCGGCGGTACCTCGCCCGATGCCCGTCACGGCGCACCCAATAATTGCACGTCCACGGGTGCAACGCTTTCCAAAGAGTCCTTTATCTGGTGTGGGTGTTGTGAGAGAGAGTCGCTCGCGGTTGCTGACGCTTCTTCTGTCTTTCGAACTGTGCCTCAGATGCTTAGCTACCTCCCTGACTTGTCCGTGACACCGTCGAGCCTTGGGAGTGACAGCGGCACGCTCACGAACAGTCATCCACGAAGTTGAAGAACCGAACAACTATTGCGGAACGTTTCTGAGCACATTGCAGCGAAGATCTGCAAAGTCTTTTGGAAGCAACCGCCCGTCTATTGTGAGCACCTGAGACAGCGACTTGACGTTTCCGGCGGTAGACCTCTGTCGGGAACTCGGACTTGTATTCGCCTTTCAAACCTTGACATTCGGCAGGGTCCTGAGAGAGGTAAATGGGGATAGCGCGTCCTACGGTCGTCGTTGATACTGTATTCGTGGATCTAGATATAACCCATTCTGCAAGGGCCTTACCTCCAGAATGCAGGATTGCATCTCGAAATGAAAGAAACGTGGGGTCCTTAAGGCACACCCACCCGAAGTCTATCCTGGTGCCTGTAAGCCACCACCTCAGCAGTCTTATCAGCATTCGAGGGGAGCAAAACTTAGTTTGACTTCTTGAGTGAGTGCACGCTCCATGCTTCTCAGGCTCTCGTGGAGAGATTCCCCGCATGAGTTTGTCAGTCATGATTTCTGTTTATAGAGAGGGACTGAAATGACACGGGAAGATCCCAGACGCACGTCGGCCGCAAGTGCTGCGAGTGTCGAATACCGGTTCATGTCCGTCAGTAATCATATGGGGGACATCGGCGAAGCGTTGTCGCACCAGATTGCAGCTCTGATTGCGAATCTCGCAGATGAATGATATGATGCTAGGGAGGACATTCTGAACATCGAACGGAGCAGGAGAGCAGATGCGAGGGGCTGTCACACTTCTTACCGGCTCTAAGTCTGCTTTCTCCTGGACGGACGGCAGCTCAAGATGTCACTCACCTCTTCTTCCGGGAGCCATGCTTTCTGGCGCCGGCAGGGAACCCGTCAGTGAGAAGCCACCCGTCAATCCCACCCTTGAAACGGGAAGTCTATAGGTACAATCGGAGCACCAGGCCAAGTGAAGTAATGGTGCGTTTATTCTTGACTCGTGAGTGAAGATAGCTGGGTGCCATTCCGAAAACACGATTCGCTTTAGGTACAGGACCTGCAAATCAGAAATCCAGAATCAGGCTTCCCGGCCAATGTTAGAATGCTTGTTGATTTGCAGTTTGATCACGGCGGCTTGCGTGCGAAATACGCCGTAATGCTCAAGGCTCGCGATCCGTTGGGACGGGGTTCTTGCTGGTGTTTCCAGGCACAGGTCGTGCACTCTGGCGTTGAGTGCTCACCAGGTCTTCGTGGCGCCCGACATCGCCGAAGAAATCGCAAAATACCGGATAGGCCTTCCATTGGCTGCTTCGAGTCGGTAATCGGTTTACTTACTTAGACTCCGGCATTTATCTGGAAGAAGACATTCTGTCATGGGCATCGGCCGGGCATGAGATGGTCTCGCAACAGATGGACCGCATGTGGCAGATGACAGGCGTCGCGTTGGCGGATTATCATGCCCGTCAAGTGTTCATGTCGGTACTTGTCAGCGGGCCATATGCTAAAACTGTATGCTTAGCTCGGTGCTAGAATACCAACATAATCTATGACCTCGGTGGTGAGCTCATAGCATGTCTCGCGCTTCGCTATAAGTGATCAGAAGTCACAGCATACCATACCGCACAGAGCCTAACGCACCGGCATACCCGACCCCGAGGTGGGCATGCTGGCGCACAATTGACGCACTCTCCGAGTCTGCTGCCAGTGCCCGCCACTCCGTTTTGTAACTCAGTACTCAGCGGCTACCAATAGACCATGAAGGGACGAGCCTCCGAGCATGTATAGGGGCGGTGATACCGGAGCGGCCGTATGTCATGATCAGTACATGGCGACGAGCGTAATGTGGCGTTTGGCCGGAAAGCATTCGCTTGAAATCACAAGGAATTAGCGTTGTGAATGCAGACCGGAGTGTTCATGGCGCCGTTCTTCCTCCCAAGCGGGACCGACCATCTGGAGGACACGTCTCCGATGGGCGTGGGACAGCGGAGGTAAACGGTTCTGTCCGACAAGTTCATGCAAGTGCAGCACCCGCGCAGACTCCTCACTCGCCGCTAAATTCCACCGCTGACGCGAGGCATACCGCTCTTGCTACAGTTGTTGCCGGCGCCCAGAGTCCGGTGGAACAGTGTATTTTCTCCTATGCAAGGATCTGGTTCAACTGGATCCGTGGCCAGCGTCCTGGCGAAGTTGGTACCGATCATCAATTACTTCTCCCATTCTTCGCGAGCTTGCGAAACCCATGAGCGGTTATGATATGAGGGGTTGCCCTGGTGAAGGCAAGATTTGCAGGCTCGGATGGATCTTACAATACCAGGGCTCACAACTAGCCCGCAAGTCTCAAGCCGCTGGACAACTAGCAAGGCATGAGATATCCATATTCTCGTCTCTTGTCACCAGCACATGTCCCGGGACTCATTGTACAGGCTGGGGCCGGATAGCTACAGTGAAAGCTTCCGGACCTATCTGTCCCGCCGTCACGCCCTGAATCCATGTGTAATTATGCTGTCGTGCAAGGGCGGTACGTCAGTCAGTTAGTGTCTGAACCGTACCTCAGGAGAATCTGGTCCACTTTATCGCTTCTAGCATGGCCTGGGAGATTGGTGTGCGAGGGTTCACTCGGGCTGACCTGAGTACTGGAGAGCAAGAAGCAACCGAGTCGGGCAGCTCTCAATAATCTTTTCCTTCTACCCGAAACAACTGACCAGAAGTTGCCCCCTTACCATTCCTTGATCGTGCACTTAAGCTGATTTTCTGTCAAGATATCCTTCCTCCGCCGATCTGACTTGATCATACTTTAACGTTGCGGAATATCCCCGGTATCTGCAGGATCGTCGCAGCATATCTCAAGCTCTCGCTTCCGTATCTGTATCGCAGTGGAATCGATCCAACCTGACTGTCCTTGCTGTCCTTGATATTAACGGCACGAGATATGCATTATCACTGGAATGAAAGACATCCACAGGCCTATCGATAGTATTATGCCGCAAGGGCGCAATATTCGCCTGGCTGCAAAGCATTCCCGCTATGATCCCCAAATCAACACGTCAATGCCGTCCTCAGATGACGGTTGCATGAGCAGGTGACATCGATTTTATCAAAGACCACAACCTAGAACAAATTTATCACCATTCGACGCGTCCTCAAGAACCCCCAAGCAGGACTAAACCATCCCCGTGTTTCTCCTGGCCAACCTCACATTCCCCGCCCTGCTCCTACTCCTCAGACTAGTGGAATCATTCTCCCTCCCCCTGTCCGCCTTGTCGAACAGCTTGCCCACAGGGAATATCCGTTGGAAAAATGGCTTTTTCACTGGCCATGACCCCGAGCCCGATGTCGAAGGGCGTGAAAGGGGCGGTGAATACTTGGTCGAGGTCGCTGATACCGAGGTCGTAGTGCGCGTTGAATTCTGGACACAGGTAAATAAAAGAAAATCGAACAAGTAACCAATTTTGCATATTCTCACCGTTCTCCTAGGTTGCCCGTATTCGCCTGCGCTTGTGCCAGTATAATATGTATCGCCAGATACCGACGCCGAAGTGAGGCTCTCATGCCTCGTCCTCATCCCCGGCTTCACCTGTGGCCGATAGTCGCTCCGTAGTCCCATCGACGGGACATCATATCCGGCTCTGGTGCGCACCTCGGGTCTCAGTTCCTGGGAAGCTCGGGCCTGCGTGGAAGCCCGAGATCGTGGACGCTGAGGTGCGTTTCCGCTAGTTTGTGAAGGTCCCACCCCTGCCGCGATTCCGGCGGGGGGCACGGGTGGTAGACTTTTGCTTCTAGCCTCTCTGTGACCGTGCTCCATTCGGAGTCCAGTCTGGACCCTGGTAGATCTTCCGCGATGTACGGCATTAGGAAAAGTCTCAGCCATGGTATTGTAGCCATTGTTGCAGTGCGGCTGCACCGGGTAGTCCGGCCTGCCAGCGTAGGAAGATTGGAGTCGCGCAGGAGCAGAGTGGGAGAAAGCCACTCCTGGAGGCGCCGGGTGAGAAGGGAGCCTTGGGGCTGACGGTCTGGAGACCTGGGTACGTGGCTGCTGACCGTCGACTTGATACCGCGTGGATTGTCGGTGGTGATACTGAGCGTACACCGCGTCTGCGGAGCTTCCTTCCGGTGAGATATGACATCAGAGAGCGGTAACAGTTCGTAAATATGTTCACTGACCGAAGCTAGCGCCCTTCCGCTGCGATAAGGAAGGTCGAATTGCGGCGTGCTTGACGTCTTGGGCCTGAGCTTGGCTCTGAGGAGCGTAACCGAAACGCGCAGATAATGGTTCCGAGATAGACAGACCAAGGCCGGGTGAGGAGGGTCTTACGCTTTGTGCCCTTCCGTACCCAAGGGCATTTTTTGCTTTAATATTATTTAAGTTGGTGGGACCCGGGGCGTCCATACTATTGATACCTGCATTCTGTGCGCGGGCGTTAGGTTGCAAAGGCGGCAAAATACGTATTTGCTCCGGAAATTGCGGAGTAGGAGGTCCATCGTCATAGAAGAATGTAGGGCGGTTAAGCGGGGGGACGGTGGCTTTCGATGGCAAAGTATTCGACGCCGACATAGAACGAGCGCGTATCCCTTGAGTAGGGCGCGCTGATCAGATTACTTGAATACAAAAATGACACAAATATTCGATACAGAGAGGAATCACACACCGTATCTGTCCTTCTTCTCCTGGGAGGGTTGTATAACTACGTCGGGCCTGCCGTCATCGAACTTGAGGACCATTTTCGGTGGGACGGAATAAATACTTTCTCTGTCATGTTCATCGTCTCCTTCGTCGGCATCCGTAGAGTCTGATAGGTAAGAGGGGACGCGTGACGGTGGATGAGAAGGCGAGTAGAAATATTCGGCTGGGTCGCGCTGCGGTGTATGGGTTTTCACCCAGCTGGCGACGCGGCTACAGGACGCGACATAAGCCGCAACACTCTTCGGATTGGAATCGTCGACATAAGGATAGTCATAGTCAGCCATGGTAAGATAGTGAGAAATAAACAGCAAAAAATAACAGTTAATAGGCAGTCAGTGGGGGAGAACAAGAGTACTGACTGGATTGGCCAATGGAATCTTTAATGGGAACTCGCGGGACGAGTTAGGGCGAACGTCAGAGAATCTAGACACTGCATGACCCTATCCAGAGAATTCCGCCGTACCAATAAAGCCATCTTGCTCCCTGGACTCTGTGTTTGCCTCTACAAGGGAAGATCGCGGGGAACGTGCGGATAATACCATCCGCCACCGACAATCCGTTTATGGTAGGAGGAGGTCCCGGTGGACCCTATCCAGACTCCCATAGCCCAATCCTGGTCTCCCACGTCTGGAGGAGTCCGGCGGCTGGACTGCCTGTTCGCCAAACCGTCGCGACTTTGTCTCCTTTCGCGACAACTGCGAGCGGAAATGAAAGTTCTCTCTGCCTCGTGGATCTCATATCACTGCCCGCCTCTGACCCGTCTTGATCACGGGATATCTAATCTGCCGTTAGCTGTGGAGAGGTTGTGACTCATGAGCAATCCAAGCTTTAGCTAGGTTGATGTGGACATGCATGGAACGATGCTCGGTACATATCAGGACTACTCTGAAGCTATGGGACGCCACTGAGGAGGTCCTGCTCTGGCAATATGCTATTGCTCAAGTCTAGAGCGTCGGATCCACGCTTGCTGCGGCGACCAGCCCTGTCTATTCTGAACGATCTCCCTGCCGGTCATGGCTGAACGCTGAGCTATTGTTCAACAGACAGATGGCCGGCCACCGAGGTTAAGATTGGCGTGTGGGATGCCAGCAGTGCTATTACAGCGTATCCTTGCACCAACGACCATTATTGCATCCCTTGAACAAGGGCAGCCGGTATCCAACAGCTCGTCTCACCAGCCCAAGGCTACAGTATACCTTTGGAAGCGACGGTTGCCGTATCCAGGGACACTATCCTACCTAACTGGACAAGCTGACGGCCCCCTGTATCTTGTTCGGGGCCCGAATATATATGAGTGACCGGTTCCCCTGCTATCGGTTACAATTAAGAGCCCTTTCAAGTCCCAGCAGCCGCGGTCGGTTTCTTCGTTCCCTGGCAATCTCTGTTTGTCAAGGGGCTATATCTGAACTGTACGAAATCAACCTTCTTTCATTTCCTCGCGATTCGCGGTGGCTCTGCTGCATAGTCCGATTTGCGTCCGCGGCGAACTATGCCAGACTGGACTGCAATGAAACTACCACATAATTTCTGCGCTAACATTGCTCTGAGGTATAAACGTGTGGAGGCCGAGACACAGGTTAGCAGGAGGGAGGAATCTAGGTCATCACCCGGATACTGAAGCTGCACGAAATTGAACGGATCCTGTTACACAGGCAATGACCCTGGCTCCGCTCAGGTTATTTCAACCGAAGAGCGCTGATCAAAGGTCTCACTGCTGACTAAAGCGGCTGCACTCTAGATCTAGGATCGTGCTCCCCCGATTCGCCCATCCAGGACGTGAAGAGGGATATCGCACAACTCGCTACGGCTGCATACAGGAGCAGCCAAGGCTATGCGTATTGGTCACCCGAAAGCACAGGGTGCAGATACAAGCTACGGACCCTCCTGGTGTAGTAATCGCTGAATGCACACTACGCCCGAACCATTGTTAGGCCCATCAGTTCAGTTGTACATGTCAACAAACACTGTCAGAGCATCTACGGTCTGCCGTTTCCTTCCTCTCGTCTTGGTCTACGTGGCGTCACAGGACGTAATCACTGCCGGTATCACTGCAGGTGGCTGAGGCGGCAACCTGGATGTTATGTTGGTGGCACCGGTTAGACTCGAGCAGCTGCATTTCCAACCGTCATTCTATCACCTATGCATGGCCGATTGTTGGGTCTCCACACCCTCCTGGCATCCCCCTGGTCGAAGGACCACCACGAGTGTGTCCGTAGCACAATTGGCCAGAGTGCCGGATCCATCGTCCTTAAAGCTCTTCCTGTGCACATTGGTCTCGAGACCCGTATCCTCAGGCACTCATGATCAGTTGGACCCCGTTTGGGCAGACGCCACATATCTCGCATGGAACTCAGGATGCAGTGCTCCTTCGTGGGTCAGGTCTCCATCAGCCGCACCGCAATTGGGGTTTCCCGAGTGCAATTAGAGAGTTTGCGATGCAATGCACCGTGCGGTAGTGGCGTTGCGCGCGCCACCCCAGGCTCCTAGAACCATCCGTCTCGCGTCCTCGATCCTCTCTGCTAGGGCGTGTGTGAAGATGTTATCTAATATGGCTTATATAATGTAATTTATTTATAGCTGTGTTTCCTGATTAAGCCGAACGGTGAGGATGAGGACGCTATGAGACGGCTGGCTCGATAATGATAGAGTTGCAATAAAAGAAAATAAAAAGAAAAAGAAAAAGGAAAAATTGGGATTGGCTCAGAGAGCCATGTGGCAGTTGTGGCTTCGAGGCCCTTGGGACCGAAATCTACGTTACTCTCGGGCCTATGCTCCACAAATCGCCCTCAGAGCCCTGAAGTAGGAGCAAAGCAGCTAGTGAGTGACAGATGGCATGTTTTACCGTAAAATCCGAGTGTAAATACTACTAAAATCGAATTTGTCCGGCCCCTCCGGGGCCATAGTAGTACACAACCCGTCCATCGTTCTCTGAGATATATCTCCTATAAAACGGCAACTGAAACCATGAGAAAGTCTGCAGCTAGTCCATGCATATTTTCTGAAGACGATTCAAGCCCAAAATACTGTGTAATTCCTCAATTTGGGGCCCTCCCGGGCCGGGGCAGTGACTTCTTATATCAAACATTCGAGGCAAACACCACTCCCCCACAATTCCACGAAAGAGGTTTAGCATTGAATCTGTAATTTGCACGCTTTCCCCCCTCCACGCCGCCTTACAAGGTCTGGATTACTGCGGATATCTGTAGATGCGGTGACACCCAGTCAGGCCAACTGCGCAGAGGATATTGCATTAAAAATAATTCTGTAAATCTACTGCTGTAAACTGTCTAACTGCTGCTGAGTGCTGAACACTCAGCATTCACTGCTCCATAAAAACTCTGCATGGTCATCAAGGTCTGTTGGTATGATTTGGGGTAATGGATATCAAGCCGCATCTACCTTCATATATATGGTCTCAAGTATACAGTATACACAGGTATTTTACCTATTGTACCCACGTACGGGAGCTCGTCCGGCACCTGTCATGGCAGGCACAAATCGAGTTCTCCTCGGGGAGAGCCACAGCAGCCGTTGTGGCGCCTTTGGCACAGCCACTCGATAACTCGTTGAGTTTGGTAGGTTCGTCCCACGAAGTGGCACAGCCACTCGATATTGATATCGAGCAACCATATGCGTAACCTCCCAGACGGCTGGCCCAACTCGTCGTCCGAGGTTTCACCGGAATTATGTAAGTTAGCTAAGCGACTAACGACGCGTCGGTTTACTGTTGGTTTATTGACGTTCGTCGACTGCCCGATTCGGATTGAGGCTTGCTCTTCGAGCATGTCCTCTGCTCATCCGCGCATTGACGGCGTCGTGGACTTAAAGATGTCCATATCAGAGTAGTGCTATATCTGTATTATTGATGACATGCACGTTCACCAACTGCACTGGGAACATCCCAATTCAACAAACAAAACAATGAATGACTATTTACCACAACAGTCTAGATAGGGGAAGCTGCTCTGGTCTCTCTCTTTCTCTTTGCATACCAAAGCCAAAGGAGACTAACTACACACACAATATTATAAGGTCTCAGGCTACTCTGCAATGAAGAACTTGGTGCTTGGACTTTGCATTGTATGTAAATTAATCTA